ATGGGAAGAATTCGAAGAATATAAAACTGTCGCGTTGTCATTTTGTGAACTGATAGCGCGTTAAACTCGGAGCGAGATATTATAATTTTTGCAAAATCTAATATTTTTGCAGTCTTCGAAAATACATAGAGCTTGCAGAAAATAGGGCCAGCAGCACACTCTGACCTACATACGAGAAGCAATTAAAGAAAACATTTGGAACTGTTTTTGAGAAACTATTTGTAGAAAATTTAAAAATTACCTATGTTTCACACAAATTTACGCAAAACTCCTCATTATCAAAAAATCACGAAAAACTACCGATCAGAGTTGCCGGACGCTAGAACTCTCCTCCAGACAGACAGCGAATTTGACCTAGCTATTTATCTAGAGTCGAAAATCCACTGTTGTTGGGACTCGACTCCTAGGACACCTTGGTCAGAGGCAACGCGGTGAAATCAATTGATGCCCTGAGTCATTTAAGCCGGTTCGTATCAAGATAATTGCAATCGTCTCCCGACAATAACGTTAATGATATTTTGTAATTAGACTTCCGGACATGCAGGAAAGCAATAACTTAGACAACGTGTCCCATGTGGAAGAGTAATTTTCGTGAGTGGACAAAAAGTTAGCAACCACTCGCACGAGCACAATTCATATGAGCTACAAATGTCTGGGCGAAGACATGCTGAGAAGTATAATAGAGCGTCAACATATCCGAACGTCAAAAATCCGGACAGTGATAAATCATATTAGATTCGGGGGGAAATTGCAAGAAATGATAACGCATATTCCTACGTACAAATTTACTTAAAAGCATCAACAAGAAATAGTGATTTTATGAATTTTATGAATATGAAATAGTGAACAATTATTTGTAGAACATATTGCGTAAATACAAAAATTCGATTATAGCATAATATACATTATATATTTTTGAGATTTAATTAAAAAAATATTATTGGCAATAATATAAATCTTTGAAGAATGTATATTCCAGAATCTAAGGATTTGACACCATTTCTCTTCTGTGATTATCTGAGTGAATTGTAAAGAATTTTAATATGATATTCTTTACGTGGAATACATCTACCGACCTTTTTATTAGTTCTTGTTAAAAATTCAGACAATTTGATAATTTGGAAGAGGTTAATGTGGATTATTGATGTTCCTTTGCAATGAAGGTAAGCATCTTCCTAATATGTTTCAGCATGTAAGGATACAGAATAAACATTGTATCCAAACCTTTGTGCTTCATTACTTTTTGATAAAATCTCGTATTTGAAGCAGATCTTTGGACAAAGTAATGAAATATAGAATGTAGTGAGATCTTTAGTGGGAAAAATAATGAAAAATATCCCCAGAGGCAGAGCGAACATATTGAACGTACATTTAAATCAAATCCAAATACTTCATGAGGCGTCTATGTGAATAACCCCCTAAAAGTTCTATGTAAGAGTAAAAAAACTACAGGTGAATTCGAAGTAAGAGGTTGCGCAGAAGCCGTTTGTCTATTAAACAGCATGGGCGCAAACTGCTCCGAAATCAATTCGTTACTCTGTTTGTATTCACCAGTTTAATTATTAAATATTATGACTGTTACGTCAACTCCAAAGTTTTAAATTTCATTTTTTATCGTGTATAAGTGCAGAAGGCTGTGGTGTACGAGACTGAAATGAAGAGTTATGAGGAAAATATTGAAAAATCGTTTTCAATCGAATTCAATTTAGTATAATTTTATACAAAATACTCGTAAACAATAAATATCATTTTATCTTGGTTTGATCCCCAAGATTCTCCAAAACACATGTCTTAAGAGACGAGACAAAAAATTTTCTCTACAATACCTGAAATAACAAATTTGGAACGAATGAAATACTTGTACGCTTAAGAACAGCTTTGTACAACTGAAAGTTATATTGATATATTAACACATCCGGATACACTTTGTTTAATTTGACAGATTGTGCGGCGCTCTCAATGATACTAACAAAATAATTGTATTGCATATCAGATTACTTTAGAGTGAAGAAAACGTGGTAAAACCTCCTGAAAAACTTTTAAACTTATTTTTTTCAAAATCGTATCTTTGGAGTTAAGTCGTTCTTGCTCTAACAACAGTAATTTAAGACCATAAATTTAACATTTACAATTTAGTTCATAACTAGTTGAACTCGTTCAAAAATTTCACATATTCGACTTCTATTGCATGTTTTGACGACCGACGACATGCATTTGTGGATGAATTCACTAATCCACAAATAATTTCGCGGATTGTCCCATCTCGTTTTTTGTATGCAAACCAAACAAAGTATTTACTCGGGTTGTCATCTGGCACGGGACATACCCGACGTAGAAGAGACGTTTTCGCTGTTCGCCATAGAGCGCAGAACAGAATGGGCCGGGCGTTTCGGAATCGCATTTTTATCAGAAAACAATATTCATATTAAAGCTAAAATATTTGTGGTTGAAGTAGTTCAAGCGCGCTTGTGTCAACGATTTTCAATTTAATTCCATTTCTCGGCCACCCTTTTCAGTCGATTACCAAATGTGAGTTCTCACTTCTGCCGATTGTTCTCATTTCCCATTAATATATAGATAACCTACATTTTAAAGTGTTTTTTTTTTATTACAGTTGGCCTCCACTAATGTAACTAATGCCCCAACTTACGTTACTCCAGGTATCATCAGATGTCGTTGCACTTCCTATGACCGAGATGTTCCAGGGTTCGAGTCCCGGCAATGGCAGGATTCTCTACACTGCCTAGATAGCTAGGTCGAATGCAGCTGGTCTGGAGGAGGAGTCGTTGGTTTCCGCGACCGGAGCCATTTGATACTTGGCTGTCCGGGATGAGTGGGGTCTCAGTCGATCGATCTGACGTTTCGATCGTGTTGTGGCCTTCTTCAGAGCTATACTGCTGCCGAGACGCTACACATTAATGGGACACGCTAGTCTCTCGGCTCTGAAGAAGGCCACAAGACGATGGTCGAAACGTCAGATCGATCGACTGAGACCCCACTCATCCCGGACAGCCAAGTATCAAATGATCTGGAGGAGAATTGTAGCGTCCGGCTGCTCGGATCGGTAGATCATTTTTCCATGATTCCTCCGATCAACACCAGACGAATACCGGAGTAGTCCCCTAACAAACGGGCTACAGACCGCACACGACCTACTTTTAGTCTGCCTTGTTCTAACCTCACTCCCTACTTAGCCATTCATTCACATGTACTTCAATATCACACTTGTAGCGAAACCAGTCGAGAGTTTAGTTTATCCCGGCTGGGGTGGTGCCCGTTGATGGGAGATACCAGGTCGGGGAAAACCCGACTAGTGGACGTTTAGGTCGGCGCCAGATCTTGCCATCTAGCTGGGAAATAGCACTTACAACTTCCGAAAAGAAACATGCACGACACTTACGGAACTAAAGATTTTGTTGACCCACCCGAAATCACTTTTCAGTCAACAATGAACGCTGTCGTAAGGGCTGTTGCGGCCTCACCTGCAGCGCGTGCGGGCGGCGCAGGGCGCGGTCTACAGCGGGCCAGCCGTCGGCCGCCAGCACGTAGGCGACGCTGTCGTCGGCCGGCAAACGGCAGGACGAGCGGTTCACGCACGCCACCACAGCCGGCAAGCCCAGGTGGCGCGCCACGGCGGCC